GTAAGAATGGTTGAATCATCGGCATCAGTCGAACGAAGGAGACGAGGCCCGCTTCCAGGAACCCCATCAGTGGGCGTGGCCGACGATGAGGTAGAAGGCAAAACAGAAGCAGCTACTGTCGACTGCAGGACAGCAGCGGCAACGAGTGCAGCTTTTCCGGCAGCCTTGCTAATCTCAGCTTGTCCAGGGACACCGACGAGCTCAGCCAGACGAGCGGCAGGTCCGGCTTCAGCCAGAAGTCGGGTGAAAATATCGCCCGGAGAAGCCGAAGAGGTGCCACACGTGAAGGGCGAACTAGAGGCGGATGCCAGCTCAGCATAAACAGCCGCATAGTCGTTTCCCGGACCGCTTGAGGCAGAGAGGGATGCGCAGACGGAGAGAGGCAGACCCGATTCAGCTGCTGCTACAGCGGTTGCAGCGGCTGATGCAGCAGCCATGGCGGTAGGAGTCAATTGGCGAGAGTTAGTCTCGCACTAAAGCAGATCGACACGTATCAAAATGAAAGTGATAAGAAAGATATAATAACCAAAATGTGAAAGATAAAGAGAATGATAAAACAAATGTAATACTAAATAATAAAAGATATATGTGATAGACATCATCAGAAGTATAAATCGTCACTTACTAGTGCTAGTCTTTCTTTATACATTGTTTTGATGTTCCGATTACTCAGTATTTCACCTATTTTTTGAAAGCTGACAGGACTGTATTATCAGAAAACTTGGTACATATATATATATATATGCAAATATAGGTTTTTCCTTAAATTCTTGCTCTCCTTTATCTTTCTTTGTAATATATTTAAGATATTGAGATCATGTTGATAGATAATTATCCTAATTCTAATTTTTTAATACCTTCCTAACTTTCTGTAGTGGTGATTTGTGTCTGCTCGACCCATAATTTGGCCTCACAAGTAGGGTTATAGAGGGAATTAAGAATAAAATCGGCATTGTTGGCAGTCCTTTATGCATCCCTACTCTATTGTGAATTCAAAAGCTAAACCTATTCCATTTTCTAGACTCACTTTGCTATGTTGCAAGAAAGCAAAGTAGTATATCTAGCCAATAACTTAGGAATTAGGAGTGCCTCTTTAATTGGCTGGACCTCTAAATTGACCATGTAGTTATTCGCCAAAATTGAGGACAAACAAGATCGCATGGCCAAATTATAGTAAATGCCCTTTCACGATGTCATCGTCAGTAAACAAAAAAGCAAATTGGGGAAGGACGGGAATAGTAAGTCCACAAAAATAAGTCTAACTTAATTTCTTACCTAATCATATTTATAGATACAAAGTAGAGGCTATGAAAACAATGATAGTAAGGAATTTGCGCCAAGCAGATGTAAATAACAAGGAGAGTTATAAAAATTAAATAATTATATCTCATAAAAATTATCAATTAGGATTATTCCCAATTATTTCAAAATATTATGAAACAGGATTGAGGAAAACAATTATTTAGGGAAGAAGAGGGAATTATGCAAATCTGCATACAGGTTCCTAAAGCTACTATCTTGAGAGCTTTCAAAAAATGATGGCGAATGACTAGGGATATGGAGCATTAGGACCGTGTATAAAGACCAACACTTCTTCTAAAGAATTTTCGGACATCTTCTGCAGATAAGGTCGCTACGAGGTTGTGCTCATACGGTATTGTCTAGGTGAGGGAGGCTCGTCAAAGCATAAAGAAAAAATTGCACGAATACAAAACCGCCTGCACATAATAATGGGCACATAAATCGGAAATGGCTAAATACATGGTGAATACAGGGCATCAGATAGTGATCTCAAGCTCAACGTTTTACAGGATATAGACTTTATGGCTAAGCAAAAGATTAGCAATTCGATATAAAGTAAGTCAAATAACATCGTTATAAAAATTAAATAATTATATCTCAGAACAATTATCAATTAGGATTAATTCCTAATTATTTAAAAACATTATGAAACAGGATTAAGGAAAACAATTATTTAGGGAAGAAGGAAGGAATAAGAACTACCACTATATATTGGATAAAATTATGTAGATGGAGAAAGATCAGGGAAAGCCATCGACTTTTCGTTTT